AGTGGGTTAGAGTAGGGGGGTCTGGGAGTCAGGACTCCTGGGTTCTATCCCTGGCTCTGGGAGGGGAGTGGGGTCTAGTGGGTTAGAGTAGGGGGGTCTGGGAGTCAGGACTCCTGGGTTCTATCCCTGGCTCTGGGAGGGGAGTGGGGTCTAGTGGGTTAGAGTAGGGGGGTCTGGGAGTCAGGACTCCTGGGCTCCCCCCCTGAGCCCCTCAATCCTCACCCTCAGGGCCTCTTTGTAAGGACTAGGGTATGTGCTTCAGATCAGCATCAGCGAGGGGCAGGTGACAAGCGAGCTCTCAACCTCAGGTGCTGCATCTATCTAACAACCGGACAGGAAATTCCCTCCTCGAGGCGAGAGTCACAAGACACCACTTTGATCCCCCACCAAGCCCGGCCGCCATCTCAGGTGACATCCCGGGGCACCAAACCGGAGACCCCCAAGAGCTCCCAGAGCTCCCAGCGTGGCCACTACCATACTCCATGCTCTGCAGACACACACCGAGGGGGGGCTGTGACACACATCTGCCCCCCCCCACCCCCCGGGCAACCCACACCCTCTGGTAGAGGAGAGAGACTGGGCAGCTGTGGGGGAAGCCAGCTATTTCCCATCACCTGGAGCCTGCCCCCTGCTGGACAAAGGCTGCAAGGACTGTCAAACAACATAGGCCAAGCTAAAAAGGTTTCAGTTTAAAAAAAGAGAGTCATTCTCACACTTGTTTATAGGGCTTTTTTACCCCAGCTCTAGGCTCTGTATTTTCTAGACTATTTTAATTGCTCTGGGAAATAGGATTTTTGCGGGTCTGGTTTCACGATGTGAATCTCATCACCTCCCTCCCCTGCCTGGAGGGGAACTCAAAGTGAAACTGACGGGAGAAGAGAAACTGTAAAAGTGACCACGAAGCGAATGAACTGGGACACGGCAGGCTGGGGCTATCGTGGGCAGAGTAGGAAGATCTGAGTTCTGATCTTTAGGACAAGACACAAGGGGCTTACATTGCAGCAAGGGCTCAGAGGTTGGACGTTAGGAAATACGTCCTGACTGTCAGGGTGGTTAAGCACTGGACTAAATGACCAAGGGATGTTGTGGAATCTCCATCATTGGAGATTTCTGCAAGCAGGTTAGACCTACACCAGTCAGGGATGATCTAGATAACACTTAGTCCTGCCTGAGTGCAGGGGACTGGACTAGATGCCTCTCGAGGTCCCTTCCAGTCCTGTGATTCTATGGATGGGACACTGTAAAATCCCCTCCAGTCTCCGACTCCCCGGTGGTTATAAGTAAAACAGCTGAAGACTTTGTAAAAATATGTTATAACAAATCTATCCCCACCCCAGATTTAACTGTTATCACTTGCAATTTCACGGCGGGATTAGAACTCCGATCCTCCTGCTCTACACAGGAGAACCCCCCAGCCCTCTGCGCTACGAAAGAACCAGGCTTCTATTTGGCAGTGTTGGGCTCTTGTCCCACAGGTGAGCAGTTCAGATTTCAGCCAGCAGGGCGGCGCGGGGCTCCCAGCCATGAGCACGTTACAACTGGGGGCGGCCGCTTCCTGGCGAGCGTTACAGAATGTGCCTCTAACTACAGAAGTAACCCCACTGGATTCAGTGCCCGGAGCGGAGCGTACAGGCCTAACAATGCTTTGACAGTATCCTTTCTGAAAGTGAAATAAAGTCGTTACAGTGTCATTGGGAAGCCAGTTACAGTGTCATTGGAAAGCCCCCCATCCCCCGCTTCATAATTATTATGTTTAAATCGGGAGAGGGGGGGATAGTGAAATCAGTAAAAATATGCACCAAAAAAATAATGTTTGATATACCACCACATTTAAAAAAAACACACGTTAAAACAAGGAGCAATTAAAAAAAGGTTATTTCAAATAACTAACAAACACCACACGCTCGTCTTTGATTTCTAGTCAGTTACCATGATCCCAAAGTCTTTGCTTCAAGGGCCAAACTAACCAATGACACTGATCTAGAGACAAGGTTAGCCACGCGAGCCACCAGTAGCCAGACCAACGGGCCCCTGACCTCGAAATCTTTCCAAACAAATTGTGATAAAATAGGGTTGGGAGGAAAACGAGGGGAGGGGCTAACGAGTGCCATTTGGTCCAAATTTGGAGCTGCGTCCAAGTTTCAAATTTTGTCCCAATGGGATGTTTTGTCCCAGTGCAAAGCATTTCGCTGGGCTCTTTACAGCTGATCAAAATCCCAGAAAGAAACATTTAAAGAGAGAAAAAAAAATCAAAACCTTTTCCTCCAACATTTGGAATTTTGCCAGTGAGCCGGTGAAGTTTCTGAATTGTAGACAAATCTGAACCAATCCCACGCCCTAGGGCCCGATCCAGCAACGTGCTTAAGCACACACTTAACTTTAAGCATGTGCGTCGTCCCACTGATTTCATCAGAACTTCTGGCGTGCTTAAAGTTAAGCAGGCTCCATGGGGCTTCCCTGGCTCGGGTCCCAGCGCTCAGCATCTCACAGGAGCGGGCCCCGAGTCATCCTAGGATCATGCACGAGGGGGTGGAGTCTGCTTTTCCACTGACAAGTTGGCACACCCGGCAGAAGGCTGTTCTTAACAGCCCAACGGCCTGACCCTCAGCTCGTGTGAACTGGCAGACGCCAACGGAGCTGCAGCCAATTCATACCAGCTAAGGATCTGGCCCCATTGACTTTAGTGGAGCCACGCAGATTTACATCCCCTGGGGATCTGCCCCACTAGGCGGAATTCACACCGGCACGGGTCTTTTTTGTCACGTTAAATTCTAGTTCAAGCGTGTAAGTGACGCATAGATCTGGAGTCAGCCTGCTGAACGGGGGTGAATTTTACATATTCTGATTGATTGGAAATTTTTTTTAAAGGATTATACTTTGATATTACGTTCTTAAAGTGTTAAAAATCCACACACTAGAAACATTTATGTGGGAGGGCGTCTCAAACCCACCACAGCTGGTGGCTTAAAAATTATTAATGAAGAGGATTTATGCTCTTACAATTTTTGGAAGCACAATTTTTGCAGGCAGCTGTTTTCCAGACACACAAGACTAGTTCATTTCTCCCCCACCACACACACACTTCTCTTTTCACTAAAAAGAAGATCAAATGGTCAGACATTCCAGGCGGAAAAGTTTTTACTAAAAAAAAAATCTAAACAAAAAACCAACAACCTCACCCTTTCTTTCTGCTGCAGCCGTGTGCGTGAGAGAGAGGGGAATGTATTTGCAGTCAAAAGAAACCGTGACTAATAAAGATTGTAAGCAGCTTTGAGATCTATTGATGAAAACCACTATATTAATAATATCACCCCGCGGGAAGCTCTGGGTAATTACAAGTCTGATACAAAATGCAGCTGTAACAGCGTGTGATCATCACACCATCGCGGAGTGGGCAGAACGGTTTTACAGCCACTCACACGTCGCATGGGGATATTCAGCAAAGCCGTTTCATAGGGAATAAAGGACGCAGAATGATAGAAATGTGGGGCTGGAAGGAACCTCGAGACGTCGCCATGTCCAGCTCCCTGCGCTGAAACTGGGCCAAGTAAACCCGGACCATCCCCGACAGCTAATCGTCCAGCCTGTCCTTAAAACCCGGCCACGATGGAGATTCCACCACCTCCCTTCCACGCCCCCTCTAGTTGCAAAGCTTTTCCTAATAGCTGACCTAAATCTCCCTTGCGGCAGATTAAACCCGTTACTTCTTGTCCTGTCTCCGGTGGACAGGGAGAACGACGGATTCCTGTCCCCTTTATAACGGCCCTTAACATAGCTGAAGATTTATCAGATCCCCCTTCAGTCTGCCTTTCTCACGGCTAACCAGGCTCAGGTTTTTTAACCTCTCCTCATCGGCCAGGGGTTCGAAACCTTTGATCCCTTTCGGCGCTCTCCTCTGGCCTCTCTCCAGTTTATCCACCTTTTTCCTAAAGTGCAGCACCCAGAAGTGGGCACAGGACTCCAGCTGAGACCCTGCCAGTGCTGAGGAGCGACAGGGACCTCCCACACCTGACCCACCGCCCTCCTGTTAATACACCCCAGAACGAGGCGAGTCTTTTTAGCAACTGCTTCGCTTTGGGGGCTCACATTCACCTATAACCCCCAGATCCTTCTCAGCCATCCGACCTCCTGCCCAGCTGCTACGCATTTGATTTTTCCTTCTCCAGTGAAATACTTTGCCCTTGTCTTTACTGAATTTCATCTCTCTCCAATTTGTCCAAGTCGTTTTGAATTCGAGCCCTGTCCTCCAAAGTGCCCGCAACGCCCCCCTCCGCCCCCCGGCTTGGACATCCGCACATGCCAGAAGCGCGGGCCCCACTCCATTATCCAAGTCATTAATGAAAATATTGACTAGGACCAGACCCCGGTCCGACCCCTGCGGGACACCGCAAGAGACATCCTCCCAGTTCTTTGAGTCTTCCTGCCACCCATCTGATACTAATTTCATCTAGATCACACTTCCCTCGTTTGCTGATGAGGTCATGCATCAAAAGCCCACCTAAAATCAAGATCTATCTAATCCCCTCTCCCCATCCGCCGTCACGCACACAAAACGATCTGACTTGCTACAGCAACTAGAGAGACCGTCCACATGGCGTTACGCCTCCATCCTTAACCTCCGGCAGCTGATCACCCCAGTCTGATCCCGCTGGGGTACAGGGCTACACAAGGGGGGTGGGAGAGGGGGTCGGACCCCAACAAAGTTACTATTCACAGCCCCCCAACTCCTGAAATGTAGATTTTTTTACATTACATTTTAAATGTTTTTTTAAAAAACTTTCCCTGTCCCCATAACCTAATTATGGGGAAAGATTTATCAGCTCCAAGGGGTACCGACTCCTGGGATAGGGCACTGACTTAAAAAGAAAACAGAAGGTTGCAAAAAAAAAAATTCTAAGAGGGATAACGATGTTTTCATGTTGGCATTTTAATTTCCAATTTGGGGGTGTGGTTGTTTTTTCTTTTAATTTAAAAATGTTCACAGATGCAACAACCACAACAATAGTAATAATACTTAGCAGCTTTTCCAAGGTAAGAATCATTATCCCCATTTTGCAGATGGGGAAACTGAGGCACAGAGAGGGGTAAGTCGGTAGCAGAGCTGGGAACAGAACCCAGGAATCCTGACTCCCAGCCCCCTGTAATAACCACCAGTCCACACGCCATTCCCAGAGCTGGGAACAGAACCCAGGAGTCCCTGACTGCAAAGCAACACAGAAGTGAAACTGACTAGAAAGGGAATGTGAAATTAACCAGTGTCATTTCAAGAAAACATACAGCATCAATTCCAGGAATGGAAACAGGGCCTAGTGCTTAAGAAGCAGCATGTGAACAGGTCAATGAACACACACACACACACGCTTACAGATGAATCCTGTCTGTGTTTGCAGGATCGGGGTCTACACGTTTAAAATCACAACTTGGGATCCTGCCATTAATCAGAAAGGATTCAAATAGATTACTCTTTTTCTTTTGCCTCGACAATGCCCCTTGCTATTTAAAAAACAAACACGGCCTTGCATATCGCATTCAGGGTCTCATCTATGCTGGATTTTGGTTTTACATCAGCTTAGCTATAGTGACGTCAGTGTCAACCCTCCGTGCCCGCGCACTCCTCCCCTACCCCCAAAAAAAATCAGAAAAAAAGTTGCATCAGGTTGAACGAAACCTGTTCACCCTGAAGCAGAACGTTTTGTTTTGGAGCATTTTTTTAAATGGTATTGCTAAAATAAAATTGAAGGTCATTTCTAAACCACACGTTATGTTGAAACATTGAAATCATTTGAAAATGTCAAAACAAAACGTTTCAGGGGACGGGTTGGGCCAAAACAATTGGGTGAAACTGCCCCGGTTCGGCGGCGAATCTGCCTTTTTCAGCCAAAAGAAATCTCAGCCAACACTTTTCACCCAGCTCTGCCGCTGATCTCGAATTTCAAGTGAGCGTAACCCGACCCCCCTTGGCTGGGGACTGAATCTCAGACTTGTGGCAAAAAAAGCCCAAACTGCGACCGGGTGAGCTGAAAGATGTGGCCCATTAGAGGATTCAAACCTTTACAAGCAGCCTGGCCACTCGAGGGAGACAAAGCAACAGGAAATTGGGTTGGCTCTGGGCAGGGTTCAAATCCCCATAGAGGTCACTTGTGAGTCGCTGCACTCGGATCTGACACTACGCGGTGGGAAGGGGAAAGAAGAAAAAATCCAGTGTAGACGCAATGTGAAAAGACATCACAGCCAGAAGCGTTGCTCTGTCACTTGACTTTAAAAAAAAAAAAAGAACCCCCATTCAGAGACGCACACGTTAAGCCCTATCCTTTATCTCCACCCTCATCACTGCAACACGCGGATGGATGAAAGAAAACGGGACTTTGGCACTTAAGATGAATAAGGTCAAAGGCCCATTTTGACTGAATTCAAGAGGTGCTTCAAGTTAAGCGCATGCTTACATGCTGTCTTGAACAGATGCTTTTTAGAAATCAGGGTCTTAATTTGGATTTTTATTTTCCTGTAAAAATCACCCGGGCACACTTTGTACGAAAGCTCCATTCGTAAGCGGTTTGCACGGGGTTAATGACGGCTTGAATGCACGGTTAATCCGTTCTCAGGGATGGTTATCGAATCCAATGGGAAGCTTAGATCCAGCTGCAACACATCCTCCGCTCCTGTCTTTGATATGCTTGAGATATGATCCATCATTTATTGCCCCTTTGCAAACCACCTATAAACAGAACCTGCATATAGAGTGTAATCAATTATTTACAGATCTATTTAAAGAGAGCTCATTAAAAGCATGGATCCTGCACAACGCGAAGGGGAGGAAAGGGGGGGGGGGGATTTCCCCGATTTGACTCACAAGGCTACCCACAAAAACATCCGCCCGCCCGGGAAGAACAGCGTGAGATCAAAACTGCCCACACCGCCGACCCCTCTCTCATTACCCACACTGCATTAGGAACCGAGGATGATTTTGGTTTTTTAAAGAGACGGTGCAACTTTTTTTTCCCCCTGGCAAACCGAAAACAAAAACAAAAAACAGATTAAACTCAAATCAACATGGGACGCTAAAAATAATCAACTTAAGAAATTAAAATAAAAGAAATCAGTGAATGGAAAGGGCTAAAGGGAGGAAGCGGTTTTTACTGGAGGCTCTCGGCCGAGGTCCCTGCATCCCCGTCGTGACTGCCTGTCTCAAAGTTGTGCTCCACTCCCATGATGTCCGGCTCCATCTTCCCAGTGTCGTTGATGAACGTGGTGTAGGTGTCCCCTTCTGCCATCAGCAGCTTCAGTTTGGGGATCCAGCTCTTACGGACCACGCGCCGGGCATTCGTGCACATGTCAGCGGCGATGGCGTTCATCTCGCTCTCTTTGAAGTTGGGGGCGAAGTTCTGGCAGTAGACTGGGGAGCGGGGCGGAAAAAGAAGCCGCTTATTAGTCAGGCAACCAAGCTAGCCCCACCCTGGAAAGTTGTGAGACCCCCTCCCAGTGCCAGATCCACAGAGGACAGGAGCCTGTTGGAGCCCAGCGTAACACTAGGATGTTTCCCCCCAGCCCAACAAAAAATGCAGCTTCCGCAACACCAAACTTGTTTTGCAAATTCACGTCCGTTTCGCCTAATTGTTCATTTAGGGCAAAAAGCCTAACAAAAAATTATACAAAAAAATAACTGATTTTTCGGTTTGAAGCGACTTTTCGTTTCAATGCATCTGAAGAAGTGAGGTTTTTACCCATGAAAGCTTATGCCCAAATAAATCTGTTAGTCTTTAAGGTGCCACCGGCCTCCTTGTTGTTTTTGTGGAGACAGACTAACAGGGCTACCCCCTGATACTTTTCGTTGCAATGTTTCCTTCCGAGTTCAAAGAGTGTTTTGAAATGGTCAAACCAAAAGATGCCGGTTTCAACGAAACAAAATGTTTCGTTCCACCCAAAACTCTTTTTTTCCAATCGTTTCATTCGCCAACAATTTCAGAAGTTTTCGTTTTCGCTCCCACCAGGAACTAACATTTTTGTTCCACCCAAACTATTCATGGCTTATTTTTACTTTTTGATTCACCAAAACGTTCAACCCTGCCCCCCTACTTCCCAACTTTTCTAAATTGTCAACAAACGAAAAAAATCTGTTCTTTGCCCTGCTGGTTAGGAACCAACTATTGGAAACCAACCGACAACAAACAAAAATCCTGTTTTCCAGAGTGATTAAAATAGTATAAAAACAGCCAATATTAGATGTGGGGTAAAAACGGTGGGAATTATTATTATTTTAAAAAACAAGAAGCTTTTTAAGCTTGGGCCTACATTTATTGACTGTCCCTCTGCAGCCTCTGACCAGCAGGGGGCGTGATCTCAGTGATGGGAAATTCCTGTCTCTGCCTTTAGATCCCCATTCTCTACCCCCCCACACACATATAATGAGTGTAATTCTCCCTCTGTGCATCTGGGGTCCTCCTCTGTGCTGTTCTGCAAAGGAGAGTCTGGCCCTTTAACAGGGGGTGGGGCCAGGATTAGGCCACCCCTTCCCCAGATGGCGCATACAAGGGTCATGTGACGGGGAGCATGTGACTCAGAACTAGGGTGACCAGACAGCAAGTGTGAAAAATTGGGACAGGGGGTGGGGGGTAATAGACGCCAATATAAGAAAGAACCCTGAATATCGGGACTGTCCCTAGAAAATCGGGACATCTGGTCACCCACTCAGAACAGAAACCCCACTGCAATGCTCAGAACCAGAACCAATGCTCAGAACAGGCCTTGGCATCACAGCCGCCTTCTGTACCCGCTGGGTCTCTGGGCCTGCCCCCCGCTGGTCTCTGGATGCCCAGGCCAGGATCTCCTTAATGAGCCTGATGCAAAGGGCATGAAGCGTCACTGGGACTCCGAGCAGCCCACCTGGATGGGGGGCAGTACCATCTGCTGGGAGACAGGCTTTCGGAGCCCTGCACATCCCCCATGGGGCCTGAAGGATGCTGCCTTGTGGAGCCCCTGCCCCACATACTCACACTTCACGGCATGCAGGACCCTGCTGTCCAGCGGCTTCCGGCTGGGGTCGTTGGTGGACGAGCGGATGCCGGTGCCGCAGCTGTTTGCCAGAGTGTTCCTAGCAAGGGGAAAGCATTGAGAATGAGAACCAAAGACCCTCTCGCCGCTGCCCTGCTCTGACCCCTAGACCCCCATCCCCTACTCAAATGCGGGCAAAGAACCCGGGAGTCTTCACTCCAGTGCCCCCCGCTCTACCCCCACCAGTCCCTTACCATAGGTCGGGGGGAACCCAGTTCTGATTCCTGGCCCCTTGTGCTCTAACCATTAGACCCCACTCCCTTCCCGGAGCTGGGGCTAGAACCCCGGAGTCCTGGCTCCCAGCCCCCCTGCTCTAACCCTCCAGCCCCCACATCCCTCCCAGAGCCAGAGAGAGAACCCAGGAGTCCTGGCTCCCAGTGCTGCATCAGGCCTGGCAGGACAGGGAAGGGGACAGGAAAAGGGAGCCGCAGCCCCACCCCCACAGTACAGAAAGCCAAAATTCACCGATCGAAAAAGGAGGCCAGAAGCCGCCTCAGAAGCACTTTGTGCCGCGTCCCCGCGCTGACATGGCAGTTCATCAGCTGCGCCCGGGTGATGTACACGTTCGTGCCTAGGCGGGGTGGAAAAAAAACCCATTACGACCCAGACGTGTCCCTCTGACTCCCCACAAGGGGGCGCGACTAGGGAACAGCCTCCATTCCTGCCTCGCTGCCGAGCCCACAGAACGGAGCCGGAGCAGAACTCGCCGTGGGATGGGAGCCTCGATCCCCGACCTGGTGGCGACAGCCAGCGGCTTCTGCGCGGCGATGGGAGGTCCTGGCTTCGGGGCAACACGGGATGGGGGACGGGGCTGTAATGCAGCATACGCTAGGGCACGGGAGGTTAACGACGACGATTGGGGCCCGCTGCTGTGCTCAGCACCCCATGGACCTCCCCACCATAACGAAATTCGGGGTCCTCTGCTGTATCGCATGCCCCATGGGCCCCCTCCTCCAACCAAGATCAGGGTCCCCTGCTGTGCTGGTCACCCCACAGACCCCACCCCCAGCCGAGATCGGGATCACCTATTGTGCCAAGCACCACACAAGCACCCCCCAGCCAAGATCGGGGTCCCCCCATCATTAGGGCCCTACCAAATTCACCGTCAATTTTGGTCAATTTCACAGCCATAGGATTTTTAAAACTGTAAATTTCACGGTTTCAGTGACATTTCACGGGGTTGTAACCCCGGGGGTCATGGGCTGGGGGGAGGGGGGGTCGCAAGGCTATTGTAGGGCAAGTCGCAGTCTTGCCACCCTCACTTCTGCGCTGCTGCTGACGGCGACGCTGCCTTCCGAGCTGGGGGGCCGAAGAGCAGCAGCTGCTGGCCAGGCTCTGAAGGCAGCCCGGCCGCCAGGAACAGCACAGACGTGAGGGTGGCAGTGGGGCGGGGGGGGAGGTTCCTCACTTGTGGGGGGGAGGGCAAGGCCGGCCTATACCATGGTTGAGGGGGTGACCAGTCCAAGGCCCCTTTGACCTCTGAACGTCGGGACACAGGGCCCAGAGGCAGGGAAAGCCAGGGTTGGGATCCTGGCCAGGCTGGTGCGGGACCTTCCTCTTCCCCTGCAGGGGCTGCTTCCGGGGTCGGCTCAGATCCACCTCCAGGAACCTTCCCCGGTGGCACGAAGCTCCGCGGCTGCTGGCAGGGAGCCCAGCTCTGATGGCAGCACAGAAGTAAAGGTGGCAATATCGCTCCCCCCTACAATAGCCTTGTGACCCCCCACAACCGCAGTTTGGGCTGGGACCCCTCGTTTGAGAAACGCTGGTCTCCCCTGTGAAATCTGGTCTTCTGTGTACTTCTACCCTACACTATATGGATTTCACGGGGAGACCAGATTCCACAGCCCGGGACGCGTTTTTCACAGCGGTGAATTTCTTAGGGCCCTACCCATCATTCCGGGCACGGCACAGTCCCTCTCCCCAGATTGAGACTGGAGCCCTCTCTCATGCGGGATGCTGCATAGACAGCTCCCGCCCCTGAGCGAGTCCCCAGCAGTCCAGGCCCTGCATAGACCCAGGGTGGGATGGGAAACTGAGGTACAGGGTGGGGGGAACTTGCCCAAGGTCACCCAGTAAGGCAGTGGCAGAGCTGGGAACAGAACCCAGGTCTGGCGAGTGCCAGCCCGTTGGGCCTCACTGCCTCTCCTGTCACTGGCTCCCAATGGCCAGTGCCCAGGAACACGTGCTCAGCTCCCGGTAAGGGAAGAACCCCACTGAGTTTGAGTTTGGATCAAGCCCTACGATAGTGGCAACACATTCACCTGCTGCAACTCAATTAGCCCCCCCTGCCCCCAAACCCAGACTGGTCTCTGCCTCCTCCCCCCAGGTCTGCCCACCCCGCACCTGTCACGAGCTCCAGCTTCTCAGCAGGGTCGCCCTCGTCGTACAGCTTGGGGTGACACCGGTTCCCGATCTGGTTGATGAGCTCGGCCGGCAGCGAGGCCAAGTCCTGCCGCACCCGGATCCGGTTGCGAGACTCAGAGGCCACCTGGTCGGGCAGGGCTTCCACCTTCTCTGCGGCTGCTGCTGCTGCGGGCCGGGGGGAGTAGAGGGTGAACACACAGAACACAGCTCCTAGGCCTAAACATTCAGGCTAGTGGGGTGGGGGCGGCCTGGGAGCCAGGACTCCTGGGTTCTTTACCTGGCTCTGGGAGGGGAGGGGAGTCTAGTGGTTAGAGTAGGGGGGGACTGGGAGTCCGGACTCCTGGGTTCTACTCCCACGTTTGCCACCGACTCACTACAGCGACCAGGACCCGTGATTCTTTGTGTCGGTTTCCCTTTCCGGGAGCTGATGGTAATTTTTAACCCCCACACAGACGGGATCTGGAACGCGAGGTGTTTGTCTCTCCAGCTGGAGAAGAGCGAACTCTCCCCTGTTACAAGGGGGACCACCGGCCCAGCTCCCCTCCCCGCCATGGGTCCGTGTGAATTTAAACGCCCCCTTGCAGACGGGCTTCTCTAGCCGCTGAGTGACCCTCAGCCCCACCGCTAAGCCCTGCTTTGATAGCAACCTGGGTGTGCCCGGCCCACTGGGAACCGGGCTGAGACCCAGCGAAACTCAGCTGAGCCTTTATCCAAGGAGAAGCCTGGAACAGCTGGAGAAACCCCAGAAAAACCAGCATCTCCAGGCCTTGCCCAGGTCGTTGATTTAAGGTTTCTATGCCCAGATGTTGCCGCTCACGTCCTTGTCTTACCCCCGCCGCTGGGATATCTGGGTGCCTCACAATCTTTAATGCATTTCTCCTCACTGCACTCCGGGGAGGCAGGGCAGGGATCCCCAGTGTACAGGTGGGAAACTGAGGCACAGAGAGACCAAGCAACATGCCCACAGTCACACTGGGAACTTGTGGCAGAGCTGGGAATTGAACCTGGGTCTTCAGGGCACTGGGCCACCCTTCCTCTCTTGAGTGCTCTAAGCTCTTCCAGGCCAGACCCTCCAGCTAGCGTGGCTGGATTCACCTCGCAATGCAAACAAGTCATCGTCCTCGCCCGCCCATAACCCTGACATCGAATGTATCACACCCAGCGGCAGAGCAGAAGCCCCGCCCCTTCCCTCAGCCACTCCCCCAAGGGGTGGAGCAATAAGTCCCTCCCCTTCCCCCAGCCACTGCTCTAGGGAGAGAGAAGCAGTATAAACTCCGCCCCTTCCCATCTCCCTGTGCCATGCCCCCAAGGGGGCAGAGCACTAGCGCTCCTCCCCTTTCCTAAGCCCCTCCCCCTGCGGGGCGGAGCATTAAGAGCCCCTCCCCATTCGGCCATGCTCACCTGTCTGCCCTACATTCATCATGCTGTACATCGTGTACATGTTGCAGATCTGCCGGTACTGCTCATCGGAGCCTTCCTCGGCCGCGTCCTCCTCTTCATCCTCCTCGTTGTGATAGGAGCTTGGGCTGTCGCTCGTGTAGGCGCTGGACGTGCCGGGGCTGGTCTGGTCGGACGTGCTGGGCCCGCTAACCACGCCGGACCCGCCTCCTCCTCCTGCTTGCGCCCCCTGCTGCTGCTGCTGCTGCCGGTTGCCTCCAAGGTCCTGCGTGGAGAACTTGGCCATTTTGCGGCTCCCGTTGTTGCCTCCTCCTCCCCCACCTCCACCGCCTCCTCCCTCCTTCTGGCCGTTGTCCCAGAGCCGCTTGACCACGAAAGTGCACTGGACGGAGTCCGACTCCTGCTGCTCTGTCTTGACGCGGGACACCAGGGGCAAGGGGGTGTTACAGGAGGGCCAGGTGGAGGTCTGGGCCACGGGGCTCTGGGGCTCGGAGGAAGGGGTCTCCTCGGCGTGCAGGCCCTGGGAGTCGCAGCTGGGGGAGCTGACCTTCAGGAAGAACTCAGTCCCTTTCTCCATGATCTCCTGGATCTGGAGGAAGCCGGCCGTGTACATCAGCAGGAACTGGTCTCCCACGTTCATGCTCAGCCGGCCCGTGTAGCAGAAGCTGAGAATCTGCTGGAAGGACTGGGGCTGCACCGCCGCCGGCAGCTCCACCACCGCGCTCTTGCTGTTGTTGAAAAGGTCCCGGAAGTAGGAGCTGCTGGCCGCCAGGACGGCCCGGTGAGCCTTGAAGGCGTGGCCTTTCACCACCACCGAGACGTCGCAGTACAGCCCCTGCAGACGCTGCTCGTTCAGGCACTCCAGGATGCTGTTGCCGAAGTTGGGGATCTCCATCTGCAGCGTCTGCGCCATAGTCGTCTCCTCCTGGCGTGGGGTGGGGGTGGGGAGGCGGCGGGGGGTTTGCTGGAGACAGGGAGGAGGGGAAAGCCACGGGGAGGGGAGAGGAGACGGACGGATGGATGGATGGATGGATACACGTGACCATGGGTGGGCATGCCCCATGATGGATGGACGGGTGGGGATGGTTGCACATGGACCACAATCAGATACACCAGTGGAGATGCAGGGGGTTGGACAGATAGGTACGGATGACAGCAGAGGGAGACGGACAGGTGGGTGGATATGACAACAGAAACAGACAGACGGGGTAGGTGGATGCAGACATGGAGAGAGAGGTAGAAAAGGAGAGGGAAGAAGAGAAGACAAGGGGAAGGCAAACGGGGAGAGCGAGAGGCGTGGATGAGGGAAGAGAACCAGAGGTGGGGGGAGACAGGCGAGACACGGAAGCAGGGGGTGGGGGTCATGATAAAAGGGAGGGGGGGAGAATAAAAAGGAAAGTGCATTAGCTATTTGCCTGGCTGTGACGGAGCGTCCCGGTCCCATCAGGCAGGTTCACAATAAGATCTTTAGGCTGCTGCTGTGTGGGGCCCGCGTTGTATTTAAACCCTGGGGAATGAACCCGCAGTGGGGTCCAGCAGAAGGGGTTGAACCTAATGCCTCTGGATCCCACAGCCGGAGTCCCACCTGAGCTAAAAAAGAAGCCCATTCGCTCAGAGGCGACCGCAGGCTGATAAAACCCAATCCGTGTCCGTAGGATACTTTCATAGACCCCACGGCCAGAAGGGACCGTCGTGATCTGTAGAACCCAGGCCACGGAACGGCCCCGAACGAATTCCTAGAGCAGAGCTGTTCGAAACACACCCAGCGACGGAGAAGCTGTCGGTAAGTTGTTCCACTGGTTACTCTCCGTCTGAGTTTGTCTAGCTTCAACATCCAGCCAGAGGATCGTGTTCGAACCTTCCTCGGCTAGACAGAAGAGCCCGTTACTCCCCAGGTAGATCAAGTCACCCCTTAACCTTCTCTTGAATAAGCTAACTGGAGCCTGGAGCCTATCATCACGGGGCAGGTTTTCTATTCCTTTAGATCATTCTTGTGGCTCTTCTCTGACCCCTCTTCAATTTATCAACATCCTTCTTGAATCGTGGGCACTGGATTCCAGCCGTGCTCGCCCCAGTGCCGAATGCAGAGGGAAAATCTCCTCTCTGCTCCTACTCCACATTCCCGTTTATACATCCCCGGATCCCACTAGCTGTTTTGGCCTCAGCGTCGCGCTGCTCAGCTGATTATCCACCACAACCAAATCTTTTTCAGAGTCCCTGCTTCCCAGGAGAGAGCCCCCCGGCCTGGAAGCACGGCCGACGCTCTCCGTTCCGAGCCGGACCCATTTACTGTTAGCTGTAAGAAGTGTTCGCTTGCGTCAGTGACCCGTCATCATCATTGTTTGCCCCTCCTCCAATCGGTGACAACTGCAATGCCTCACCCCTCCCAAACCGTGCCTGGAGGTAGGGCGGTGCTATTCACCCCATTGTACAGATGGGAAAACTGAGCCACAAAGAAGCCCAAGGTCACATGGGGAGTCTGTGGCACAGCAGGGAAGTAAACCCGGTCTCCCAAGTCCCAGGCTGGTGTCCTACCCCCTGGAAATCCTGACACATCCGGGGGACCAAACCTGAGACCCCTGGATCTTAAAGCATGAGCTTGGCTACCTCTGCTAGAAGACTCGGCTCTGTCCACCAAGGCTAGTCCAATCTTTAAGTAGCCCAGTCACCACTCCAAGGGGACAGAGCACCACACCTCATGGGTGTGGTGTGCACGTCCAATCCCTCTTTGACTCTTGCCAAGTTTTTGGCCTCCACGCCGTCCCGTAGCAGTGAGTTCCACAGGTTAATGATATGTTGGAGGGACAAGTAGGTCCTTTGATCCATTCTGTAATGGTTACAAAGACACAGCGCGCCCGTGAGCACCCACGAGCTCTTAGCCACGCGGCCATCTTTTCTCCAAACCCTTGCTAACAAGGCAGGAAATCAGAGCCACTTTCATGCTCCCAGCCCATCACGGAGACTTGCCAAGCCTATCAAATCGCAATGGAACGAAGCTGGGAGGAGGGTTAATTTATTCGTGATTAGCAGAACAATTCGCTAGACTACTTTTTTTTTAAGCTAATTGATTTTTTTAAAAATCCCAAGAGAACAGGAGAGACTCCACCTGCCTCTGACTCACAGGGGCCCCCAGCCTGGGGCTGGATCGGAGCCAGCACCCCCCAGAGAGGAAAGAGGCCATGTCCCAGTTCCTGGCCCCCTGAACGAACCGCTCCCCTAACCTGGGGCTGGATGAAAGCTGGCGCCCCATAAAGGGGAAAGGCCCTGAATCCCATTCCCTCCTGCCCCCGAGCCAGCCGGTCCCCTAACTGGGGCTGGATCAGAGTCAACCCCCCTAGAAGGGAACGGCCCCATACTCCTCTCCCTAACCGGCCCCCGTGTGCCGGACGTCTTTCATGGGCGTGGGGGAGGCGAGATGCAGTGAGCAGCACGGGAGAATCCTGCACCATTTCGAGCTGTGGCAGACATTGTAACCAGGATAAAAACCCATTGAGCGGGCGAGCGGGAGTAAACACTGGCTGAACCAACTAGCCACGCAGGGATGCAAAGCAGGAGCGCGGAAAGGTAACCAAGCGAACAGAGTATTGACTTATCCACCACGTGATGCGTTTGTCTCCACAGACACTGCCGCTGGGAGCCGGGGCCTGATCCGAGTACCCCACCGGCATCTCCCCAACCCCGGAGCGGGGAGAAAGCCAAGGCCCCCTGTGGCTCGGTCGTCTCATCAGCCCAAGCCCCGATGAGCCGCCTTCTCTCCAGCCCTAGATGTAGCCATTTCAAGAAAGCCCAGCCACTGTGGGTATTCCTAGTGGGTGTGGGGCGTCCCACTCCCAATTTTACACTGGGGGGGGAGGTGGAAGGCCAAGGTACAAGCATTTGCCTAATGCTGCACAGTGGTGGTGCTGTAGAGAGAACCCAGGAGCCCTGGATTCTAACTCCGCTCTAATCACTAGGCACCACTCCCCTCCTACAGCTGGGGATAGAATCCAGGAATTCTAGCTTCTAGCTCCCACCCCCCTGCTCCAACCTCTAGACACTACTCCCCTCTTAGAGCTGGGCACAGAACCCAGAAGTCCTGGCTTCCTGCCCCCACTGCTCCAACCACTAGACACTACTCCTCTCTTAGAGCTGGGCACAGAACCCAGGAGTCCTGGCTTCCCGCCCCTCCTCCCCCATTCTAACAGAACAGAATCCTCCACCCCCTTTCAAGCTCACTCTCCCTCTGACTTTTCTAAGAAGCCTTTGAAATATTGGGATGCTCACGTCTCTTCTTCCTAACAGGGGCAGACCAGGAGTGGGCGCTCGCTGAGACGCCTCAGTGCCAGGGAGAAGCCAGGTGCTGAACCCTTGAACAGACAGCCTTGTCCGCACAGCTGTCTGGTCAGGGTGAGCGCCCATAAGTGGCTGCCATGGATGGAATTCCACCGCGGCAGCACTTTGTAATAAAGGCAAAACTCCAAGCCCGAGCTCTCGTCCGGCACGCCTCACGAACAGATCTCAAAGGAGGTCATTGTCATCCTTATTTTACTGATGGAGAAACCGAGGCACGGAGTGGGGTAAGTGACTCACCCAAGGGCCCCCAGCAGGCCAGTAGCAAAGCTAGGAATAGAACCCAGGTATCCCGAGACCACTAGGCCGCACCGTGCTAGGCGCTGTACAAAGGCAGAACAAGATGACAGTCCCACTCTCAAGCAGCTCATGCCTCGTCAGAAACTTATTCATTCTCTGCTCCTCCCAGGACCGGAATTCCTAATGCAAACCTTTCTGGGCAAAGGCACCATCATAACAAAAACAAGGGCAAGTTTTTCCTCCGCCTTATTCTGCAGGCTACTTATAAGATTCCTTCTAAAAAAAGAGAAGCGAAAGGAAGGTCTTGTGGTGAAGATAACGGACCGGGACTCGGGGGCCTGGGCTCTGTTCCTGGCATCGCTCAGCCTTGTCTACTTGGAAAAGTCAAACTGGTTTAACTCACGTTTGTTTGTTTTAAAGACCCGGGTAACCGCTGCATGGATGATCTGATTTCGGTCGAGTTTAAATCTGTCTCTAATCGACTTGAACCAACCCCAGAGAAGCTGCTTTTACACCGAAACCAGAGTGCCCCTTGGCACCGCTTTCACCCCAATTGGTTTACGTTCACACCTTCGCTTCAAAACCAGAGCAACTTTTTCATGCAGACAAGTCACATCACGTTTCTGGGCTGCCGTCCCCTCAGTGATAAACCAGGGGGACCGATCCTGCCTTTGTCCCCTTATTTATAGGGCAGCGGGTTTAAGACCCAGAGGGACCATTAGATCCTCTAGCCTGAACTACTGTACACCAAGTCCTTCAGTTTCACCCATTTACACGTGTGCTGAGCCCAGCAGCTGGTCTTTGGCTACAGCTGAGAGACACCAGGATGCAGATTCCACCTCCTGGAGGTTTGTTCCAACGGTGAATCACCCTGAGCGTTAAAAACTGCTGCCTTCTTTACAATCTGAATCTGTCTGGCTAGACAGAAAGCTCACTGGGGCAGGGCCAGTCCCTCACCCTGTGCATGTGCGGCGCCTGGCATGATGGGGCCCAGATCTCGGCTGGAGCGAGGTCTGTGCAGTGCCTGGCATGATGCGGCCCCCCAATCTCTGCTGGGGGGTCTATGCAAGACGCAGCATGAAGGGACCCCCAATCTCAGCCGGAGGAGGGTCTGTGCAGGGCCCAGATCACTGCGGCGGGTGGGGGTCTGTGCCGGGCCCAGTATGAGAGAGCCCCCAATCTCGGTTGGAGGCGGGGGGGTCTGTGCAGGGCCCAGTATGAGAGAGCCCCCAATCTCGGGTGGAGGCGGGGGGGTCTGTGCAGGGCCCAGTACGAGAGAGCCCCCAATCTCGGGTGGAGGCGGGGGGGGTCTGTGCAGGGCCCAGTATGAGAGAGCCCCCAATCTCGGGTGGAGGCGGGGGGGTCTGTGCAGGCCCAGTACGAGAGAGCCCCCAA